TAAATGTTTGTTAATAGGTTGAAAGACTGATGCAACACAAAGAATAGATTTATAATAATAAATCTCACTAATGTAAAACTTGATAAACTAGTCTACACTTACCAAACTAATCAAGCAATTTATCAGCTGCTCAATTTTAATCTGTTTAGAATATTTATTTTATAGTATCATTGCTTTTGTCGAGAACATACAAGCAATATCAAAGCTCTCTTAAATATCTTGATTTGTAGATTTCTTTGTTTTTTTTTAAACAAAAATTCCACTTAAAGAAGGGGTTTCAATGAGATGTGAAATGAGAAATGGAATGTTTGACTCTCCTAAAATGATTATATATTGTTCTTAAACTCACTTACTCTCCAAGGAAAGAAAAGGTGTCATTCAAATGTTCTGAATGCTCATCCTTCAGAGTGACAGCACATCTTTTATTTTTCTATTCACTACCTATCATATTGTGACATTTTATGTATGAAAAATAGTTAAAGCAATATTTTTTTAATGTCATACTATTGTAACGAGCAGTTTATTTCATGCCCATGTTCCTCCAGGCTGTGAGCCTATTCAGTGAGGCTTGTTAGTGCAGGGCGATGGCTGGCATGTCCTCTGGAAAAGCACCCACAGGCCAATAAAAACAAAGAACACAAGTGGGCCATTCAGAAATACACAGCATTGTTTAAAAATAGCAACACCCATTTCTGCTGGAACTGAGAAGAGGGTGCTGCTGGTCTCCAGAGGCAGAGTGGGGTGAGGAATGCGATGTTGTCCTGCAAGTCAGGATACGTGGGCTCCTGCTTAGCTCGAGACACATGCTAAGTGATTCATCCACTTCAGGACTGTTTTCTTAACTGTAAAATTCAGAGTCTGGATCATTAAGTGACCTGATCACATAACGTGTTTCTAAACCTCAGACATGCAGGCACTCCTAACGTGAGTTCTTACTTTGTGCTCGCAAACCCTATACAGGTACTGCGGGTTGCCAAATGTTCACTGTTTCCCCTAAAATAAACTTCTAAAAAGGAAACTTTACACTACCACTTTGTAAATGAAAAACCTGACTTATGTGGCATTAATGGGTGGTAACCATAAAATTTAAATGCCATAAAACAACAAAACAATTATTAAATTCCAGCTATCAGGCTGTTGGCTGCCTGAGCTCTGCTCTCTGAGAAAAACAAATGAGCAACCATATCTAGGAAGAGGTTCTAGTATCAAACTGAGAGTTTCTCCTTGACTTGTCAAGAAAACACTGAAAGAGAATTCAAAAGGGCATAAGTTTCCTATGCGATCAATGTTATTTTATGCATCTGCATACCACCTAAAATTACCCCCAGTATCCACTAAAATCACCTTTCATAACAACCAAATGTCCTACACTCTGGAAATGCTGCATCATACAATCACACCTATTACTTCTGATTCTAAATTTTATCTTGAATCCTCATACAGCCCGCCTAACCCACTTTCTCAAAACCGTTAATATTGTCATGAGAGACACTAAAATAATTTTGAGGGCAATGGAGTACTGTGGAAGAACGCAGGCTAGAAAGTCACATTAGTGTTCCAAGTTCAGCTTCATTAGATTTGACCTTGACACTGGAAGGTTAATTAACCTCTCTCAGCCTCAGATTGTTCCTTCACAATAAAGAGCTCGTGTCATTGTTAAGTGAGAAAATGCATGTAATGTGCTCAGCACAGCGCCTAAATGTGGTAGACATTTAATAAATGGTACGTTTTTAAAATAATTTAATTTCTTCAAGGACATTTTCAAAATTTTATCAAAATGAATTCGCTTCAAATAACAGTGGTTTGAAAGAAAAAATACAGTTGACTATTTTTCTTTTATAGTAAAGTTATACATAACTTTAACTTCCAAACAAAGCTACAAACCCACAAACCACTGACTGGTAAGAGCAGCAAAAATATTTTGTCCTCAGTGATAAAATAAGAATACTTAGTTGTCAAAATGAAAAACTGCAACTCTTAGCTGCTACCATGCGAAGTGTTCTCAGGTCCTTCCTTACCAAAAAAGGGGTCAATACGGCAGAAAAGACCGAGTAAGAGTGTCTCAAATCAAACAAAAGTTTCAGCCAAGTTGGGCACATGGCTCCGAAATGAGCCACATTTAGGCCACAACTAACCACTCTGTTACCTGCTAGATGTAATAAGCAGTGGGGAAAACAAAAAGCAGCCCAACACTAACCCTGCAGTAGCAGTCCTGGGTACCCGGTAAACGTCGCAGCGATGCTCTCTGGGATTCGTGCCAGTCTCATTAAATGTACTGTTTCTAGTTCATGCAAGTGTGCAGGATAGACATCGTTATTCCCAGCAAAGTATGAAGAATCCAAGTTCAGAGAGGTTACACCACTGGTAAACACCAGAGTTGCATTCAAACAGTACCTGATGTCAAACCCACTCCCGCTTCACTATTCCTTGTGTCTTTTTTTTTTTTCAGGACATGAAAGTATGAGCAAGAATCTCTCTTTATGCTTTGAAATGTTATAAACTGTTATCAGTCCCCTTTTTTGTCTCTTCTGTCTTCTAGTTTCTCCCAAATCCTTTGCATTTTGGTCTACCCAACTTCAGTCTTCATACCCCAACTCCAATTCACTCATTCCTTTAGTCTCTAAAACCTGGTCTTGTGCCCCAGCCCTTGGTAAGGCAGGAGAGAACTTTAAAAAGCCAAGGTATGGCTTCCAATCTACCGGGGACTTAACCTAAAGGCTCACAGACAGTGAGCAGTTCTCTTCCATGGTCAACCAATCTCAGTGAGCTCCAATTTACAGGATGACTAAGACAGGCACAACGTGCAGAATTATACATAGTTCTGAAAGTCATATATATTTAACAGAATGCTTAATTGAGTCATATTTTCAAAAGGTATCTAGAAGCTTTTATCTTTTATTTAGGGAATGAATTTTAAGGCAGGGTTTTACATATAAATAAAACTGACTGAACTTAAATAGTTCTTACTTTAAATAAAAACAGCTTGATAATTTTTCCTATTAACTGCAAGGTGTAGGTACATCAGCGAAAATATCCACTGAATAGACAATATCTAATTGATGTTTATAAGTCCTAACTTTGCACTTGAAAACTGGTATCCCTACCGTGCATTGCCTATACTTGTGGGGCTAAATTACCGAGGTCTGCGAACCATTCTGTTGTACATGAGGTCCTCAATAGCCCAAAATGCAAGCTCCACCCTTCTAAGTGCTGTACACCTGGCTAACGCTGTTGATCCTCATGACAACCTATTATAAGCACCATGATCCTGATTATTACACATAATGAAAGCAAGTCACAGAGGTGTGAAATAACTCAAGATCACCCAGCTGGTAAAACAAAGACAAGACCTCAAATTTAAGTGCTCCGGCTCCTTGGCCCACATCCACTACATTTCACTGCCCACCATATATAAGTACATTCATAGGCAGAAATAAAACATCACATAACTACAGACCCACAGTTTATTGAGCACCTACAACATGCCAGGCACCTGTCACTGGAGATGAAAGAATTAAAAAAAGCCTGGTTCTGAGATGGAGGAGACTATTTTTTACAGAAGATTCACAGAGGTTGAAAACAAAGAAATAACCAGATACAATATGATGTGTTATCCTATCTGTTAGGGGGACATGATGCAAAGGACAACTAACTTAAACAACAATGCCACCCTTAGAAGCACCAAACTTACTTATTAATAACTGTAATACACTTATCTGGAATAGGCACATTCAAAATACTACATGAAACTTTCCTTGATGATTTCTGGTCATCACAGGGAAGACCAAGCCACTGCAATTATGTAACACATGTTTTAGGAATGAGGGACTGTTTGCCCCACTTTTAAAACAAATTAAATAGTTACATCCCTCTCCAAGGTCTTATTGCACAAGGTCATTGCCTACCTCTGGCAATCACACCCACTCCTAACCTGACATGATGTATAGAGAGTTAATTAGTAACCAGACTCTTAATTCTAAATTTAAATTGTCAGGGAGGGTTCCTTCTCCAGAGTATAATACTTGGATTTATGCCAGTCTATTTTTGATATTCATTTAGCTACAATTAAAAAAAATAAAGGAGCTAATTATAAAAGCAAATTCTGCCAATTTCAAAATTTTATCCTTGGCAAACCCGGGAAGAGAAAGATCAAATATCTTATCTCAGATAGGGACCCTGATGATAACAACAGCTAATCTTCCGTGAGTGGTACCTACTATATGCTAGGAGCTTTATTGGTGTTCATTATTTTATCCTCACAGTATTTTATGAAATAGGTCATTCTAATCTCCATTATATAAATAAGAAAAATGAGGCCTAAGATCACACAAAAAGTTGCAGAGCTCGAATTTGAATTACATGCTTGGGGTAAAAGGAAAAACCCTCAGAAGTCCTTGCAGCCAAGCAAGTAAAGTAAATGTGTGAATTGGCTCAGTCTTAAGATCCCAGAGCGGTGGTTCTCAACTTTGGCTGCACACTGCAATCACCTGGGGAGACTGCCAGGTGGGTTCCGCCCCCACAGACTGTGACTTAATTGGTCTGGGAGCCGCCCAGGTGATCCCAAAGAGTAGCCAAAGCTAGAACCACTGTTTATAGACATAGAGTACTGCATGGCCCCAAAAGCAGGTTTGTTTTTTTTTTAATTTTAAGTTAGTTAAACACTGAGCTGGTCAAAGGTTGTTATTCCAGCCTCTGTTACCAGAGGTAACTACTTCTGCCCCACTCCTTAGTATAATTAAAGCAGAATATGGGAGGAAGATAGATAGATAGGCTGGCAGACATAGATATTAGTTTTTCACGGAAAGAGGGCTGCCTAGTCTTGAACTATCCCCATGTTACCCCCACCATATATTTATGGAACTGTTCTATTTCAAAAGGCACTTGGAGTTAGACATAACCTACTCTCAAAATAGTCTCTGGTATACAACCCTTTCTTAAACAGAAGATGACCTAAAGATGCTCATTTAACAAATGTATACCTTCAGATTACGGGGTCAAACGACTTACGGTTTTTCAAGAGGTTTTTTTATTTTTATTTTTTACAGAAGCTACTCATAATTAACTCTGATTTTAATCCAAGCAGGTCAAGAGATCTCAAGTAACTAAACAAGTCTCAAGAAGGGAGAGTCTAATGTCCTAAAAAAAATCTATTCAAGTGGTACATAGCGCCGCCAAACAAAACGTCATTTATCATTGGAAAAGGGAAGCAAAAGCTGCATATCATCAGAAAACCTTCATTAAATGGCCTGCAGATGTGAAATCCAAAGTAAATGCTATAGAGTAGAAGTCAGTTGTGAATGCATTAGAAAAAGAAGAAACTGTAGCCTGCTCAGGAAATAATTCTTCATGCATAATCATACTGTAATTGTTGCAGCACCACAATTCAAGAGGAAATGGCAAAAGGGTAAATTAAGAAATGGACTGCAAGGCCACTCATTGAAACTAGCCGCAGTGTTTTTCCATCTCCTGCAGCAAAGCAAATGTTTTGTATTTTAATAGTCTGGTATTACCACTTACCACCCCTCTCCCTCACTACTATCACCAAAAGGCACATGAGAGGAGAAGATGCTGAGATTGATTTTCTAAATGGAATATTGCAAATATAGACCATGACCCAGAAATCAGGGCCTCAGTTCTAGCGCTCGGAGTTGAAGCAAATGTGCTGCTTAGGTAAAACATTCTGTTGTTGCAACCTTATTTTTGTTTTTTTCAAAAAGCAGAGACAGGGAAGTGAAGCCTGAGAAAGCAGACAAAAGTGCTTAGGATTCATTTTCTCAACACAGTTATATTTTGTTGATTGAATAAATATATATATTGATCCCATCATGAGTGTCAGGCACTGTGCAGTGCTGGGATGTATTGGTGAATTTGACAGGACCTGCTCCCATAAGTCTCCTAAGCTAAGTGAACAAGGCACCAACCTTCTATAATCCACCATACACGCCCTTCCAGCCACATGTGTGAAAATCCAGTCCTGCCATTGTACTACCAGATGACAAATTTTTCCCTTGGTCTAACTGCATTGAACTTCACAGGGAAGCTGCCAGTGGCTTCTAAATAAATAAGTAAATAAATATCCACACTTTGCATATCAACAGTAACACACGGGTAAACTTCAACAAGTTTTCAAGAAAAATTTTTTTAACCTAAGACTGAATAAAAACCGGTTTTCCGTTTAAACCAACCCCAGTTTACATATCTTCACTGCCTGGGGCTAAACAGCTTCAGTAAGCTAAAAATACTTCCCTTACTGGGAAGAGCAAACAAGACCAAGAATCAGCTGTGTACCATTTTCTCTCATGTTAATTTTTTTTTTACTACAAAACATTCAAAATATCTAAAACAGAAATGGAATCTGTTTCATATTTGTACAAATATACACTGACAGAAACATCCATCCAGCTTGTATCTTCCTAGTAGTATGAAGTAAGCTATATTTGCATTATTAGCAAAGACTGTCAACATCTCACTACTCACAGTCCTTTATTATTATTATTATTTTTGGTTGGGGAGAGGGCTGCATAAATGTTGAAAACTAACCACAAGGACAAGAAAAAGCTTTCAAAAATATGTATAGGATGACTCTGCTTTTAAGAAGACCACATGGCACTTACTTTGCAGTTATGCATCATTTATGTTCCTGAAATTTACATTAAATGCGATTCTAAAGTAGAAGGATAGTCTTTCTGCAGGTCTTGCTCACGTTGTGTTTGCTGTGTGTCTGGTCATGTTCCTCCTCTTGTACTTCTCAAGGCTAACACACACACACACACACACACACACACACACACACACACACACACTCCTAGCTCTCTGGGACAAACTAAAAGGTCCTCAAGAAGACAAATAACAACCCCCCCAAATATAACTGCAGGACAGGAGTAGTAATGTGGACTTTTCCAACATATCCAACATCTCCAAAGTCACATTAATGAGTTAACAGAAATAAGAAACTAGCAGGTCTAGGCTGGATTCAACTGGGCCATTAGTTTGGGCTGCCAGGTCATGGCTTAATTTCCTTTGAAACTAAACAGCCCAGTTTGAGGAATCTCTGCCAGACTCCCCATTTCTTAGGCTACTGACAAAGTCAACTGGAAAGCAAATACCTAGAAACCAGGAAACTATGCCACACCAGGATGGGCTGGCAGGAGCGGAGGGAGGGCTCCTGGTTTGACTGCCCGGATTGCAGCTGGACTTTTGACAAGTGTTGGGGTAAAAGACTGTGTGCACCCGCCCATCCAACGCCCAGTGGGACCGGGATGGTGCTGGCGATTTCAAATGTAACTGCCGGAGGAGGCCGGAGGATGGGGATGTGTCATCTCCTCTGACACTCCGGGATCCGGCGGCCTGACTGGGCTCGCCTCTGATGTCCCTGAAGGTCAGAGGTGGTACCCACAGTGCCAACGGCTCACCAAAGCCACTTTTCCAGCCCGGGAGGAAGGCGCGGGACAAAGTTGGCCACTGGCCGCGCGAGTCCCGTTAACCGTACCTTGTAACTGGGCGGAAAGGGACTCCTGGTGCTGCTGGTACTTGAGCGCCACCGCCTCGGCTTTCCGCAGCTGCGTTTGCAGCTCGTAGTAAAGCATCGCTCCATAGAGAAAGCCGAACACCACGGTCAGCAGCAGCAGAGTCTGGAAGATCCGCTTCTGCTTTCGGGAGCACATCCCGTTTCCCATAGTCCTGCCGGGACCCCGCGCCGCGGCCGTCCCCGCTGCCGCCGTCCTTTCGTCCCCGCGGCCCGAACGAGCGCCTCAGCAGCGG